TAACACTGAGGAATGAAAGTGGTAAGATCTTTGGGACCAGATTTTAGTGATAAAGTTTGAGGCCCAGCATGGGTGTAGCTATGATTATCCAAAACTTGCCAGAGAATAACATTAAGTAACATTTTGGCCTTTTCTCATTGCATTTAAAATGCTTGGATGCTACTTTTTAGTCTAAGACAAAATCTCGAAGTCTTTGATGTAAAAAAAAAAAAAAAAGCTAATAAACTAGGACTAGTAACTACAGACAGATGAAGAGGGGCTAAGTCTAAAATGAAAACTGATCACAGAATGTGGCCTCAGGCAGGAGATGGGCATTACTGAGACCATGTGAGAGAAACAGAGTCCCTTTGTCTCTCTTCAGATCCACTCCTGTTCTTCAGTTGTATAAGAGCTTAACTGTGAGAAAGGGGAGGGTGAGGGTGTGTTCTGGGATTTGGAGGGCAGCCAAGAGCATTGCTGATTAATCATTTAAATGGTCCTTTATTCTCATTCAGTTTCTAACTGAAAACTAGTAAAAAGGAGTTACACTGTCTTCCATGCAGTCCATGAGATTGCTCGTTAGGGAAGGCCAAAAAAATAAAAACCAAAACAAACCCTATTCAGAAATAAGTTGTAGGATCTTCACCAGCCATGGTCCCTGTTCAAATGTCTGTGCTGCTGAAAGGATTTACTGTCCTTCAGATGTCAGTGAAACAAATGTGCAGCAGCACCTGGAGTGCAGCACAGAGCGAGTTGTGCTGTGGTGTGCTGCCCTACAGTGGTGAACCTGCCCTTCCCAAAACACTGCTTCAGCACTGGTGTGAGCCCAGGATAATGTTCTTTTTGCTCTGCCAACAAGAAAGGAAAAGAGCCTTTTCCAGGATAAAAAGCATGGATTGAAGCAGAGGCACAACGGACACCTTCCCTACCTGTGCCAGACGCTGCAGTCAGGAAGACAACGAGGGATATTTCAACGCCCGTGGAATCACTGGCCATTTTTTTATGAGGAACAAACTGGGAATGAAGTGACAGGCTGAGGCTGGAAGCCAATGGAAATATCCTTGGGAAGAAGTTGTTGGCTCATCTCCATTTAGTTAGCGGGCAATTTCCATCCCGTAGACATGAGAAAATAACAGTGGCCTCGGAACAGACAGTGTGATTAACCAGCTCCTAAGAAAAATCTGAATTTAATCTATCCTAAAACAAGAAAGAAAAAGTATTTTCTGGGAGTCTCATAAGAAACATCCACACACCTCCTGGGCTTCATCAGCTCTTTTTTTTTTTT